ATGGCTCTTTGTAACACCAACAGTCACACCCAGTGGGATATCATCAGAAAATTAGTGTATACTATTTCTTCACTAAACAATTAACAGAAAAAGTGTTAGGAGTGGATTCATGGCATAAGCCTACAACGCTGCTTGAAATAGGCCTCTAGCCTCAAAGTAGAATATTACTTTTTAAAAACCATATCACTTTCTTAACAATTTAGCCTTACAAAGTACTGCCAATACAATGATAAATGACTTGAAAGGTTGTAACAAAAACTCTTCACTGGTTTCTCTGAGCACAGCATTAATAGCTTTCTTACCAAAGATGGAGTCCTGTAGCAATAAAGTGTGGTATGCTTTGTACAACAGATAGAGAAACTCACAGGAAATCTGTCATTAATGATAACAGCCAATTTTCAATTCCAAGGGGAATTGAATTTCATACCTAATGAGCTCTGGTGAAAGTCCTTATGACCCCACACCAAATAACATGTCAGTTGGCACAGCAGCACAATAAGTGCTGTATCAATCGATTTAGTGAGAATGAATTAAAAAAAAAAAAGAAAAAAAAGAAAAAAATGTTACAATCTCAGCTAGATCTTCATTTTTGTAAATAAATATCAAACTTCTGGTTCTTATTGTTAGTCTGATGGGACTCTAAAAAACATATTAAGATATATGAAAATGGTACGGACTGAGATGTAGCAATATTTTTAATGGACAATATGAAGAATGTTTTAGAATAAAGTTATACCTCTATCATAACTTATTTTAGGATGGCTTTTAGTATAGCTTCTGGAATATTTCACATCTAAATATTGTTCTTTGAAAGACTGAGATTTATACTTTATATTTCGGAGAAAATGTCTGTATTTCATGAGGAAAATTCTCAAGCATTCTTTTTTATTATTTGTGTTTTGTTTGATTTGTTTTGGTTTTGATTTTTTTTTTTTACCCCACCTAACTGAACAACTTTTCATACTTTTGTCAAAAAATATTCAGATATGGAAAATTGTACCACCCAGAACTGTAGCTGCAGAGAATATATTTTTTGTGCTTTCAGTACTACTTTGAGTTTTAATTTTGGCCTTATCTCCCTTTCTTTTTCTCTGACATGTTTCTCTTTTGCAACATAAAATGACAACTACTGAAAACTTATAGTTTAACAAAATGTATGCAGGGTAGCAAACAGTACTCTGGTCTGCAAGTAACAGTTGCACAAAAAAATAAACATAGTTCATCTAATTGTGCCTGTATTTGGCCTATTAAGTAAAAACAAACAAACAAACAAAAAGAAAACAAAAAGAAAACAAAAAACATTATGGTATCTACACAGACTTGTAATTTACTTTGTATGTGCCCAACAATGGCCATTTCTGATAGGGAATGTCTAGGAAATGTGATTGTTAGGAAAGAGAAAAATGATCCTATTATGGCACTTTTGTTTTTCTGTGTAGTGGATTCACTGCCCTCTACTGTCTTAGATGAGAGCAAAGCCACTAAGGAACAATTTAACTTCTCTTGACAAACAGTAATGTAAACTGACTGGGAAAACCTGCAATAATAAAACAATAGTCTCACCTGTTTCTTAAAAAGATTTAAGCTTTGTACTAGCAGTAAAGCTTTCCATTAAAATGGCATGCAATTAGAGTAAAGGTCTTTGTTATTATTTCATTAAAGTAAAATATTTGATCTATATTATTCTGCTTTGTACAAAGGGTACTGCTATGTGTTCACCGAAGCAAAAGTAGTACAAAAAATAATTAACAGGCAAGAAGTTCAGACATGTAGGGTCTTGGATCTTCAGTAACATTTAATGTTTAAAATTCCACCCAGATTTCAGACCTCAGAGTAAATGAGAATCTAGTCAGTCATTCATTTGATGGTGTTTACTTGAGAATAAACTGAGATTTAGTCTTTTTTGACTACAAATTTATCTACACAACTAATGAGATGCTGATGTCTAAAACCAAGACATCAGGTGTGTCTATATAGTGCAATGGAAAGTACACATTCTGGACAGGCTCTTCAAAACCCACTAGAACAGTGCAATATAGCACCTTACTATAAGACAATAAAACTTGAGGTTGAATGGCAATATTGAATTTCACCATTCTACCTTTAATAACTTAGCTAGCTTGTTCAGAGAGATATTTGGGCCTTCCAGTGCTAATCAGCATGATATATAGTTTCAAATTTTAAAAGTGCAAGCGGCTTTTTGAACTACGTTTAGTATACAGGGGGATTTTCAGTACAGCATAGACTCTACTAAAAAACTGTATGCCGTACATCTAAATATATTTGATGTATTTAAGGTGTAATGACATAATGTAGTGGTACTTAGGTCACTGAGCTCATAAGAAGTTTAACAACAGCAACAGAGGCAGTAACAAGGTGAAAATGACGAGTATATTTTTATCTCAATATACATGTAGCAGTTGGAGATAGTATCATCACACCTATTCCAATAGCATAATTTCACATTGCAAATATGCAAATTCCAATTCAACAGTTCGCTGAGCACTTCCCACTCTGTTCAAATATATACAAAAAATGTCACACTGCCACATCATGTGTTCTGGGGTTCACGGTAACTTGCCAAGAGACACTGAAGAGGAAAAGAGGCAGCTAACACCAAACAACCAGTAATCCTCAAGAAGTGCTGTACACTGAGGGCTGGTTTTGTGCATTAAAATAAACAAACAAACAAACAAAAAACAACAAAAATACAACAAACCATAGATGTCACTCTAAGCAGCTACCATATGTGGTGTTCTGTGAAAGTCCTCACTGATGTTGCCAGTCTGCTTAAGCAGCCACATTCAGACCATAGTTTGGAAAATCCTCTTTACTCACCTATATTGAACACTGTCCATTCCCTGCTTGGTAGTTAACAGTCTTTTGCCCCTTTCTGTTTTTCTCAAATACTGTTCTTACCGTCTTAATAAAATTCATGGTGCCTTCTGTCAACTTTCCTCTCTGTCTCAGCTGTTCACGTGACTGGTGAATGACAGTTTCAGCTATGCCCATACTCACTATCAGTTATTCCAACTATCTATTTTGACACAAGACCTCCTAAAGGAGTCCTGTCAAGATCAGTTATTGTCCTCCCTTTAGTTACAGCATACATATGGTTTGCATCCACCCCCCAATATGGAAACTTATATATTGATACTTTTTTTTTTTAAAAAATATTATCTTCCAGAGTGACCTCGCTGTGGCTGAAACCATCATGACTATGATTGATGACCATTTTTATCTCGGTGCTCTCAAAGACATAACATGGTTCTCAGAATTAAAAAAAAACACATCTTTCTTCATGTAAGAAAATCATGATGCCCTGTCCAAACATTTAGTATTTACATGGATTAACATGAAAGTCAACTCTTCAGTACAATCTCAGAACAAAATATACCGACCGTGTATAGTTCTGACGTATGGTTTTTCTTTATAACTACCATATGTTAGTCAGTTACCATACTTTAAAAAAGTTCATAAAACTAGAGATGGAGGTAGTAGTTAAAGTACAATTTTAATAGTGTCAGCTGTGGTTTTATACATATACTTTATGATAATGCAGTATAATTTGTATCATATTTCTTTCCATATCACAGGAAAGCAAGAACAGTGGGATGAAAGGCAAATAATCTCCCACATTTACTTTGTGTTTATTATATAAGATTTTTATATATATAGTTTTAATGACAAACACATAAGATTACAGACAAACACACACTGCCAAAAAGAAGTCATTAAACATTGTTTTGAAGTCAGACAGAGAATCAGTGAAATCTGCGAGAGTGATATGGAAAAAAATATCCAGGATCCAAAACCAAAAAGACTCTTCTGCTCTTCTTGAAAGAAATGTTCATACTGTCCAACAAATGATCAGAAATCTTTATTTAGTCTGAGACAAGAATTTTGAAAGGGTGAATACTTGAGAAGTGAAAGGTGTTGCAGTCTGGTCACAGTGAGACAATCAAGTATAAAGAGCTTGAGTAATACTTGCATAAACCTGGCCTTACAAAAACGGTGCAGTTTTCCTTGATACTATCACTAGCCAGTTTAACAGGATTGTAAAAAGTTCTGAACTTCACCTTCTTGGCAACAGGATATACACAACTCCTGCTGGGGACTATGTATCGACCTCCCTCCTATTTTTTTTTTTTTTTTATAAACATTCATCCTTCCCCATTAAATAGTTCCTACCATTATAATATGTTAAGTATTATAATATTAAATGAATGAATAAATAAAATATTTTCAGACTTTGCCTGGTCAATTAGTTTTCCCAAACTTAGACATACTGTAATAGAAAAATGATTTAACATTTTCTCTGTCTGATTTCTTTAACCTAGTTTTTTTCACCGCTTGTTTTGGACTCTCAGAATAATTATTATGGCAAATACTTTTCTAAAACATATAAACACAAAAGGACTCCAAGATTAGTAATGTGTTTATAAATATTTTGGAAGTTAGTGGCTTTTCAAGCAAATCTTTGTGCTTAACTAAATTCAGGCTTACACACACAAACAAAATACAGATGTTTTCTGTAACTATGCATTTTGTGCTGCTGATCTAACCTTCAGCTATTTAGAGGAGGCCTGATGATCAAAACTTTGTACAATCATGACTTACAGACTGATGGTGTTTGTACACAGCATAATGCCATTGCTCAATTTTATTTGTCTTTTACAACAGTATTTCAGAAGGAAAATACTGCTTTTTCAGAGTTCTAAAGAACAGTTTGAGCTTCCCACCTTCCTCATTGCATCCTTTAAGCACTTTTTTCCTTTTATTTTTCAGAATACATTACCGACATTAGAATATTATGCACTGAAAACAGAAGCATGTTTATTTAGAGACATATACAAGATGAACATTAAAGTTGAAAAATTTTGAAAAATTTCTAATGGTATTCAATCAAATCTTGAAGTTAGTATCAAATAAGTATTTGCAAAATAAACAGAAAGCCAATTTGAATGAATAAATATGCATCCTGTGAAGCTTGTACTCACAATTTTAGATGATCAGTCAATGAGGATGAAAATTTCAGGTCTGAAGTCATCTCTTTTGTTTTCAGCCCTTTCAACTTTCTTTCCAACATACCCATCCAATGTAGGATAAGAAGCTTGACTGATGAAAGTTTATATACTTCACTGTAAACAAACAAAAAGATAGCTCAGTTAAGACTTGCCTTTCTCTAGCTCAGAATTTAACCTTTGAGCTTCTAGGCATTTATTTATTTTGATTAGGCATCTATATGATATTAATGCACCCATATTACATTTACAAATGGTAACACTATGTAATAGATTTATGCTGTTATTAAAGAGTTAGTGTCCATGAAACGGAAATTTGCATTTATTTAGTAGTCACCAGTTCTAGTCTTCCTCTGTACAACAGATAAGAAAACTAATGAGTCTAGAAAACAGTATCTTACAATTACTTCATGAAACCTGTGGTGGGAATGACACTGAAAAAGTTAATTGAGAATATATTAAGACAACCGACTGACCAGATGTACAACATTTTAAAAAATATCTACTCAATATCATAAAATTGCTATGTTTATTAATAAAAAAGAAAGTATAAAGTCCACTGCCATGGGAACACATAGTAGACAGTGGTCTGAATTAACCTCTACAGCCTTAACCAGCTACTTGTTCAGGAGACAGTGTAGAGATTTGTTTATGCCCAGAAGGAGACTGTTCAGGAACTGGGAAGAGGCAGCCTGGGATTCCTGTTTGAGACAGCTGCGAAGTGGATCAAATTAGGAATGTGTCTTTGCTGCAGGGTAAGCCAGCAGTGCTGATGACATTTAGGAAGGAAGAGAGGACTGCCATGGGAATATTTCTTGTGTGCTTTCTCCTTGAGGCAAGAAAAGGTATAGAGGCACTTCCTAGGAAAGAGGAAGGAGAAAATTTCAGCTCAAAGCAGAATTAATTTCTTTGCACAGGTAGGGAAGGATGAGGAGCTGGTTTCTGTTGTGGTACTCTGGGAATGAATGAGACATTGCAAAAGACTTTTTTAGAACCACACAGTAAAATTATCACCAAGTTCATTAGGTTTATCATGATTAATCCCTTACAATTACTCCAGTTACCTGCATTTTTTTTTTTTATAGCTCATGGGTGGCTCCTAGATGTTCTGGTCATAAAAAGTAATAGTGTACTGCTCTGGCACATTTGCACTAAAGTGAGCACTCAAATTATGTGGATACTTTTTTGTTGTTGTTGTGGCCGGTAACTCGGCCACTTAGGGGCAGTGTTGCTCTGTTGAAACGTGCAGAGACCTGTTAAAATTTACCTCCTCTCCAGTTTACTGATCTCTTTCTAATTTATTTCCTTTAAGTGCAGTCCCTATATTCACAACATAACAAATGCCTGCAATGCCAATAGTGTCATCCAATTGTTCTGTTCCTGCCCAATATTCAAAACCAAGATAGACAGTATGTAAGACAGATTTCACCAATAAATCTAAGAAGGTACCTGTGTGCACAATAGTTTGTCCAGAGCAGCGGTTCCCCAATATACTCAAACTGCTTCTGGTACTTTTAACAATATGCCAGGACTAGCATGTCAACATATTCAAAATAATTTTAAAGATACATTTCAATATTGATAGCGGTACTTCTGAAGAGCAAGTGTCAAAACAGAGCGTGTTGTTTCTCCTGCTGTTCCTGGTTCAATACATTGGATGGATAAGAAATTTCCCTAGTGCAGACTATTTGGAAATTGATGCCTATGCTTCTGTCTTGCCACCAACTAATCTGCCTTGTGTCATGCAGAAGGCAACACAAGACTGCTTACTGTCTTTTCTTATGTTACTGAAATGCAGACAGCAATTCCATTTTTTTTTCACCCCTAGTTCAAATAGACTGGCTCTACATAATTTTATTCACCTGAAGTCAACAGGTTATATCACAGCTAGCTAGACAATATAAAAACAGAAATATAAAACCAAGGCAAGTTAAGACCAGAATCAGTTCAGTTCTGACTCCATTTAGAATTCATTTTAGGAGCCATGTCATACTGCAGCAGAAATGGACGAGCGTCCTTAATTTAGCACTACTACCTCATCTACTCCTCACTCAAGCAAAACCATATTGGCCCTAACTGCTGTGCTAATATTTCCAACAGCTGCTAAAACCAGTGTTACCTGGGCTGCCTCCGAAAGCTTGGCCAGACCTGAGAGTCTCCCTTGCTTCACTGACATATTATTCCCTGGAAGCCAAATGGTCCTCTTAAAACAGTGGCAGAAATGACATTGAGAAAGTTAATTGAGAACAGTTTTACCCAATTCTGTTCAGTCCTTTTTCCTATCTATTCATACAAAATTAGATACTAAGGGTAACACAGAGTTACATGTTTGCTGAATGATTCTACATCAGGAAAAAAATAGGCTTCAGAATAAGGCTCCCTAGCAAACCATGCTGAAAGCCAGGATTTTAGACACTGCTTCTTTCTTCTGCTGTTGACTGTGACAGCTAGTTTTAGGCCACCAGACTAGTCTGCTTTTTTTTTTTCCTTTTTCTTTTTTTTTTTTTTTTCTCCTGCAGTGTTCAATCAGCTCGAGTGCACTTTGTGCTCCGGATAACAACAACAACAAAAACATAGCTGGAAGTACCGAATCTGTAATATCAAATTTTACCTAGTTTCTCATGCGGGACACGATGATAACTTGCAGGGTTTTCCCAGTGCTGTCACCTGTTTGCACATTAAGTTGTCTTTTGGCACCAGACCGTGCTTGGAACCATTCCTTCTCTCTTGCATCATCAGTTGTAATAAGGAGCCTTCTTAACCATTTTTAATGGCTAAAACAATATTTTCAAGAACTTGTGATAAATTAGAATAATATTAAAAACAAATACTGGGTCTTCAGTTCTGATTTCTCTTCCCTCTCCCCACAAAAGACATCCAAGTCAGAGTATCTTTTTTTTGTTTGTTTGTTTGTTTTGTTTTCCAGTTTTACACAGAAGAATCAGGTCCTTTTTCTTCCTCACTAACAAGTTTTCTCCTATATTATATAAAAAAGTAATGATCTCCTCAGCACAGCCTTATATAGCTCTTGAGTAGAATCTCTCTCTAAAAATAGAAATCTCTTTGACATTGAAGTGCCAGGCAACATGGAAACTGTTGCATTTCAAACTGAAGTTTTGGAAAGTGCGCTCTGCAGTTCTTCTGCAAGTGTCCCACAAATGTGCAAAATGCATGACCTGTCATGAACTGAGTAAATGAGATTTTGTTTGTAGTCAGTGCTGTTGCAGCAATAGCTTCTTAGAAACAAGCAATAAAAAAAGAATGCAGCACTGGCAAAAGGTGCTGGATTTACAGCTCTGCAAAGTAACACCCTTTCTTTCCCCCTCCCCCTGCCTTCGTACACAACTGCCAGCCTTTCCCAGACTGCCTGACTGGGCAAGATTACCCTCAGTTAAGCCCAACACTTGCACTGAGGACAGAAGGGCAGACGAAAACAAGCAAACAGAAATCTCACATGTCAGTGTAGCAGTTTTTCCAGTTCTCAGGCAGACATTCCTCTTGGGAATACACAGAAAAGAAAATGCAAAGGGAACACAAATCCTCTTGGTCCAGCTTTTGAAGATGCCGACAACTTTCTCTTAACTAAAGTCAGGTCAGAGAAAGAAAAAGCCATCAACTCTGTCAGCATGCCTGAACTGGAGACTGTAAGGATAGGCCTGATTCTGCAGCACTCTAAGTGCAGGAGCACTAAACAGAGCTCAGCACCTCTGTCAAACTTGCTCAGGCATGACTGTGCTAGGATCTTTCAGTCTTTAGTTCCACTGCAAGTCTCATGCTCTACTTACAAGACACCTCATTTTTTGCTCAGGTTGGCCCCACACTGGAATTCTGGTAGATAGCCTTACACTGTATTTTATTCGAGAGCTGAAAGGCAGCTGATGAATACTGATCTCCATGTCAATTTTATGAAACATGCACAAGCTGACAAATGGGGTCAAGGAGTGCCTATGCAAGAAAGTATCAAGGGTGTGCCTAAGTAAATCTTTGCAATAGACATACTTACTCCTACTTTCTTATAATTGTTTGGGGTTAAAGCCATATTAGAATAAGCCACTGAAAAAGAAGGATGAATTTTATTTGAGGGGTTGCATCAATTCAACTATGACTGTTTTAAAGCTTAATCAAATTAAAGTAAGAGAAACTTTTTTTAAAAAAAAGAAACTCAGATAAGGAAATCTCTATGCCAGATTATGGACTTTAATTGTTTAATTGAAAGCGCAGGGCTAAATAACTAGTGGCAAAGTCCACAGAGGGAATAATCCCATCTTCTGGAAACAACACTTGAGAATCTCCACCCACTATTTTCCCCCTCATTATGGTCTCGAGCACAAGCACAGGCTTCATCTGTTGTAAAAACAAACCCAGAAGAAGACCACTGACCTCCTCTGGTAGGTATGCATCAGCATGGTGTACAGCAACCCCCTGAGCCACCACTAATGCTTTCCTGGCCAGCTTTATTTGAGCCATCAAGGAGAGGTGAGGCTGTTGAACATCTGAATTCCTCAACAAGTCACCAAAAAGGGGTTGTCCACGACAGCAGGCAGAAGACACTGGGAAGCATCTATGTGAAAGTATTTTTTGTGAATGTACTGACATTCACAAAACATTAACCTGGTTTTGCAAAGCTTCCCTTCCTAAATAATACCATGGCTAGGCCTGTTGCTGCTCTCAGTTTTGAAAGGTTGTTTCAAAACATCACCCATTAAGTGTGAGGGACACTAAGTTACTTATAAGACTGGTAACTAAGTTTGCATGATTTTGTTTCTTTGTTTGTTTTGTTTTAATTAGTGAGTTCTGGGAAATGCATCTGAGACTACTCCAAGGCAAATACCACTTCATTTCCATGAACTGTCTAAAATACGAAGAACCAAAGAAACAGAAAAATGTCAATGAAATTTGAGTAAACCGGTGAAATAAGAAATTGTGAAATTTGTTCAGTAATAAACTTTTCAGGAAGTAGAGAAGCTCAAGTCTAGTCAAGGTATTTTGAAAAGTGAAAGAAATATTAATAGTTCAAGAGAGTAAAATGGTGGAGTTTAATGTGAAATTCTGGTAAATAAAGCTAACAGCTTGCACTGAGGACCATTTTCTTCAGTCTGACTCTATGTTTTATTTAG